CAGCCCCTTCCTCGTCCCCTGGCTTCTACCGGGGCGCGTACCCGGCCCCCTCGGACTTCGGTGTTCACTGCAGCAGCCAGACCACCGTGCTGGACCTGGACACTCACGTGGTGACCACGGTGGAAAACGGCTACTTGCACCAGGACTGCTGCGCCTCCGCCCACTGCCCCTGCTGTGGACAGGGCGCTCCGGGACCCGGCCTGGCGTCCGCCGCTGGTTGCAAACGCAAGTATTACCCTGGCCAGGAGGAAGAGGACGACGACGAGGAGGACGCGGGTGACCTGGGAGCCGAGCCCCCCGGGGGCGCCCCGTTCGCCCCCTGTAAGCGCGCCCGCTTCGAGGACTTCTGCCCGGACTCGTCCCCGGACGCGTCCAACATCTCAAACTTGATCTCCATCTTTGGCTCGGGCTTCTCGGGGCTGGTGAGCCGACAGCCGGACTCCTCGGAGCAGCCGCCGCCGCTCAACGGGCAGCTGTGCGCCAAGCAGGCGCTCGCCAGCCTCGGCGCCTGGACTCGAGCCATTGTCGCCTTCTAGGGACCCCCGAGGACATGGGGACCCTGGGCCCCGCGGGGCTGGGGCCAGACAAAGACTCGGCCAAAGGACTGTAGGGAGCGAGCGGGTCCTGGCCACTCGGTGTGAGCTGGGGGCAAGCAGAGGCTGATGTTTTATAAATTGTAAAATAAAAAAAAATCTAAAAAATCTTGGACTTTATTTTTGCAGAGAGAAAAAGCGCCTATTTAAGTATTCTTTGTGTTTCTCTTACTCTTTTTTTTCTTTTTATTGTACTGATTGCAGTGGTGTTTAGCGAGGAGCCTGCCACGTGAGGCAGGGCTGCTGCCCGGAGGAGGTGCCGGGCAGCCGGGGGCGAGGCTGGGTACCGGGGCACGCCGGGGGCGCAACGCAGGAGGGCGCGGGGCCGACTCCAATCAGTTGTCAGAGCCTGGAAGCCCGACGTTCCGCTCTCCTGAGTTCCTCTCTGGGGTGAGGAATGGGTCTTATGAAATTCTGAGCAAAAAAACAAAAGGCAAACTCTATCTCCAAAAGGGACGTTTCGGTCACATTTCCTCTCTGGGGGCGGCCTCCAAAGTTCTCAAAATGAGAAGGCAGAAATGAAAACACTTCAACTTTTTTTTTTTTCTTTTCTTGCCGGGGCGGGCGTCTAGAACCCCTCCTCTCCCCGCCCCTCTGGCTCCGTCCTCCTCCCCTCCTCCACCCGCCTCCCGGACCAGGGGGAAGGTGGCGCCCGACACTCAGCGCAGTTGGGGAAGAGGTGGGGGGCGAGCAAGGCGAACTACATTTCCCATCATGCCCAGCACTGCGGTCCTCACTAAACAAAAAAGGAAGTCGATTCCTTCACCTGGATCCCCGGCGGCCCCGGGGGAGGGAGGGGCCCGGACCGCCGGCTGCGCTGGAGACTTTTCGCTTTGCTTCACTTAGCTCCTGGTCAGCTGTGGTGTTTGTGTGCGCACTTCTAAGTTACCTTGTCCTGCTTCAGTCTTCGGTTCCATCTCATGAAACCAGCATTGTTCCAGCCTGTGAGAACCCTGTCTGCGTCCTCAGCTCGATAGATTTTGTTTAATTTAAAACCTTTTGTTGTGAGAAGGTGAGGTTCGCCTAGACCCCCTCTGGATCTCTGTCATCACCATCCCAGGGACTCCAAAACAAGTTGCCAACCTTGCTTTTCCGGCCCTTCTTCCTGTATTTTTGTGCATACTAAATTGAATCTCACCGGGTAAAACTGTTCAGATTATTTGTTTAAATTTATAATCTTAATAAAAAGTCGACTGTAGAGTGTATGGTAGTGCTTTGCCTTCACGTGGGCCTAGAGGTGGGAGAACCTACACACGCGCGCGCGCACACACACGCGCATACACACACACACACACACACACACACACACGCAAACCCCAGCTCTCCAGAGCTGCGGCAGGCAGGATCTGCCCACGTCGCAGGGTCAGGGTTGGGAGTCCCGGGTGTGTGTGTGATGTGGGTTCTAGGGATGGAGCCCTGTGCTACGCGTCTCCCAGTTGTCCCCGCCACTCCACAACCCTCTCCAGCGGGTCCTGGCCCCATGGGAACCGGTTGCCCCGGGGTCTCCAGCAGGAAGCTGAGCCAGCCTCCAACACATCTCCCTATGCAACCAGGATTGCAAGGGCCTACTTGGCTCCTAGTCTGAGCTCTCTGCAACCTGGAGATTTCTGGGCCACCCGCCCTGCGCCTCTGACCGCACGTCCGCACGTCTCAGGCTGCAACTTGGGGAAGTTTTTTTCCTTTTCTTTTTCTTTCTTTTTTTCTTTTCTTTCTTTTTTTTTTTTTTTAAAGTTGAGTTTGTTATCACTGCTCAGTGCCACTTGGTGGTGTGCTGGCGGCGTCTCCCTCCCTCCTCGCGCCCCTCCCCTCTCCCTTTCTGCTCCCTCGCGCCCGCCTCTCCTTCCTCTCCAGTGAATGGAGGCGAGGCAGGAAGGCTCTAGGCGCGCGCTCCCCTCTGACCACCTACGGAATGACCTCAGAGTGGGAAAATGTGCCAAGGCCCGGAGGAAGCTCGCGTTCTTCCCCACTGGAACCAAATTCACATCTGGAGCCGGGACTCTGGCTCCAGGGCACACGGGTGGTTCCAGCCTTGCTAAAGCGATAGGAAAGAACATACCGGGGTGGCATGGGGCGGGAGGGGGGGGTTAAAACGGCGGTCTCTTGTTTGGGGGTGGTAGCCTCTCTCTGTCTCAGGCTGTCTCCCCCAAAGATGTCCCGCTCTCATTAGCTCGCCCCCGCGCTCCCCTTCCCTGAGCAAAAAAGCTCCTAGCCTCCTGCCGGACGGCTCACGCCGCCCCACCCAATACGCCTCGTTGGGCGACAGGAGGCGCTGTTGCCCAGGGCCCCTAGCCCAGACTCCCAGAGGTGAATGCTATCCATTCTCAGGGGGTTGCGTGGCTCTAGATCCCGCTGTCGCGCGTGGCGAAGTTCTTGGGGACACTCTAAAACGGGGGGGGGCTGCGAAGGTCAGCGATTTGGGTTGGGGGAGAGGGATGCTCTGGAGGTGTGAGTTAGCGAGAGGAAAGACACCTTCATTCCACCCCCACCCGTGTCATCGGCCTCCCATGGGAAGAGCCTGGAGCTGCCTAAGGGGGGGGTGCATTTTAACCCCCTCCCATTTCGCTCTGCAAGTCGAAAGAAATAGCTGTTGGATGTACAGTTTTGTCAGTTCAAGTCAGTTGCCACGGCTCCCCCTAGCGCCAATTGGAGGGCGCTGCAACGTGTGCGTATGGGAGTGGGCGAGGCGCAGCCGGGGGCAGCCGGGCTTCTAGGAGAGGCTCCACGCGTACCCGCGACCTACCATTACATCCCCACCCAGCCCTGGCCTGAGCAGGGACCGTGAGCATAGAACTTTCCCCACTCTAGGTCCGCAAAGAGGAGGGCACGTGGTTGGACGCCTTTGTTGGGATTGTGGAGCTGGGTACAGCAAGACTCCCGCTGAGGAGCTTGGGATCTTTTCATCCGTCCTTGGGACCCGTGTGGTGAAGGCGTGTGGGTGTTTGCGTGCAAAATAAAAGCCCTGAGGTTAGCAAAACCACAGACTAAGGGTTTCCCCTCAACACCCGTGCAGGTTTTCTGAGCTCAGGAAATATTGGATACATTGGGATACAGAGAAATTGGGGGTTGGGAGAAGAACTAAGGGAGCCACAACAGAGAGGACCCTCAGCCACACTTATCTTTGCAGGGCCCAAGTACCTCGAACAATGACACAAAAGGTTAATGCCCTGCTCTACACATTTCCCCCAGAAACAGCAGCCACAGTACCACACTGAGGGCCACAGCCGCCCTACAACCGCCTCCAACACGTGAATCTCCGAGCATCCTTCTCACCCCACTCAAAATCCCTGGAGACTCCTGCGCAGCCCACGATGTGGCAGCCCAGAATTCCCCTGAAGAGACCAATGCACCAAAGAAACACTGGGGTAAGGGGTGGGACATCTAGCCATGAGCAAGCATGTGGCCACAGGGGCGGGAGGAAGCTGCCAGGTTCATAGAACCTCTCTCTCCACCAAGACCAAGGTTGAAGGGCAATTGGAAGACTGAGGGCTCCTCATGGTGGCAAAAGACAGCGTCCAGAGAACAGAATTTCAGCCCCTGGTCCTCCCAGCTAATTGGCTCTCCCCCAATATAAAACACACATCCCAAGGCTGCCTCTGATGCTGGGGAAGGGCTGAGCCAGGCTCTGTGTTTGGAGCTGGATGCCAGAACAGCTATCCAGCCTCACAGAGCTTTAAGCTACCCTCCAGAGAAGACTGGGCTTGTGTGTGTTAGGTGCTTAGCCCCTGGAAAGCTCTCTCCACTCACCACCACCAAAGTAATAAATAGCCAGAAAAGCAAGTGCCTCTGTGGATTACTAGTTTCAACCTCCCGGCCATCCTTGGAGGTGGATCTAGCCTTTTGGAAATGAGAACGTACATCCAAGGTCATACCACTTGATAGCCAGCCTCTACCTGTTAGAGCTCGTGGTCTGGTAGGGAGTGATTTGTAGCCTTGTGATAGGCACTGGCAGTTGATCTGGACGTGGCTTAAATGACCAGATTGAGAATTCACATTTGAGTCTACCCTAGGCTACAGAATCTAATCATGGCTGAGCTGGCACATGTTCATCCTTCAGTGCGTCATTCTTCAGGGTCCAGGACAAAGGCAGAGGAGACACAGATGAGGGTCTCCATTCCACCTGCCCAGGATTGTCCTATTCCTGTGTCCTTTAAGACTTTCAGTGGTGGCTGGAGTGATGGCTCAGAGGTTAAGAGCACTAACTGCTCTTCTGGAGGTCCTGAGTTCAGTTCCAAACAACCACATGGTGGCTCACAACCATCTGTAATGAGATCTGGTGCCCTCTTATATCGTTGCAGGTAGAACATTGTACACATAATAAATATTTTTAAATAAATATTTTGAAAAAGAAAAAAAAACTTTTGGTAAGGGACAATGGAGTGATTTGGGCGAAAGGTGAGACTTCTGGAATCGCAGCAGCAAACTGAGCAGCAGGCAGGAGTGCTACTGGCTTCAGGTACAGCTGGATACAGTCAGAGATTTCCAAAATGCTCTCCCAATGTCTGGAGCTCCCCAGTTTCTTAGCACAGAGCTCTGGCCTCCCAGCTCACATCCAAAAAAGGACCACCTTTTTTGCTAACTCAGAAAATTCCAGGGAAAGACTGTTGGATTCCCAAAGCTGTGGCCAAGTCCAAGAACGTGCTGGCTGTCACTGGAAGCTCAGGAGCAGAGAAGTCTTTTCTCAGAAAAGGATGGTACCTGGTGAGTGCAGAAGAGATGGCCTCCAGAGACGGGGAGGGGGGGTAGGGGGTGGCTGCACTCTGGGCTGAGGAGAAATTTTCTGATGGGCTTGGGCAGGGCCACTTGGAGACCTGGGTGATGAGAAATACTCAGAGCAGCTCTGGAGAAGATGTCTGCTCTCCATATGGGACATCTGGTACTTCCCTGGTTTGCCACTCAGGAATGACCAAGAGCAGGGAAGATGCACACCCCAGGAAGGGGCTGGGTTCTCCCAGTTAGGCTCTATGGACCACTCCCCAAGGACTGAGAACAAGGACATAACTTGCAAGAACTCCTTGTGTGGGTCCTCCTGGAATTTGGGTAGAACTGAAAAGGGTTTCAACAGGTAGCCAAGAGGGTCAGCCAGCAAGCCAAAAGGAAGAGGGACCATGTGAGGCCAACATGGCCACCTGGAGGACCCCAGGGACATCTGGGATACAGGCAGTGTGATCCAATCACCTGTTCAGATAAACAAGGCCGAATAGGTCCTTAAGGAGTTGAGGTGGTCACAGTAGGCAGGGAGCCACAGATGACCTTGATCCTATGCATTTTCCGCACACAACTTGGTAGTTCCCCAATTTCTACAATAAGCATGTTTTATATTTAGAAGA